CTGTATATATTACCTAGGCATCCAAGAACTTCAAATCTCAAACTGATGTGAGTCTTCCAACTGATTGGACGAATACGAATGAACTGAGCGTTTACAGGAGTCGGGAACATATTTGTGATTTCTGTGTCTCGATCTGTATTTCCAGTAAACACCTGAAATAACATGCAGAATGAGAATCATGAATAAGCCTTTTTCAATTAGTGAAATACAGTACACTATTAGCTTACTCATGGTTTATTTCTGGGTCATTTTTACCGTACACCATGGGTAAATATTTGTAATTCTGAAATACACAAGAGGTAAATATCTCTCATGCTCAACAAGTTAACATAGCCTCTGAATAACAAGATAAGTTAAAAGTGAAAAGTTAACTCACTGTACTTATTGTGTTAAAGTTACTGCCATCAACACTGTAAAGAACTTCATAAGATTTCACCCATTCATTATAACTGTAGTGGCCTTGTGTGATTACTCCAGTAATTTCAGTCAAGGCACCAATATCGGCTTGTATCCACTGATTCCCGTCATTGCTGCCTGCTGCCCAGGCTTTTGTTGAGTGTAGTCTAGCGCGGTGAGGCTTGTGGTCACTGTTATATCGACTTGAAGCTGTCAGTTGGTTATCAGGAATGGTTCCATCTTCAATTCCAAGTGGACTGGTGCAGGAGTCTAAAAATTTATATTAGTTAAGATGCATTACCTTATAATCAACAATATTTTACAATGCAGCTATTGCCAATATTTCAAAGATGTAGTAAATAGTATTGTATAATAGACTATTTGGATGTAGCCATTACAAATAGGCACTACAAACTTTTTTATGATATTGCCTTTGGACAATATTAGTTTTCTTTCTTTTTTATATTTTATATTTGTAATGGATGTCTGAAATAAAATTTGAATTGAACTGAAAAAATATTCATAACCAGATGGTATTAGTGGTAAATGAGAAAATGTGTTACACTCACTTTTATCACTACCAATATTAAGTCCCTAAAAATTGAGGCAATTCTCTTTGGTCATTAAAACAGTAATTGGGAGCGGTTGGCGCATTGGTTGTATTACGGTCTCTCAACCCTGGGGGGGGGGGGAGTGGTTCAAAGCTTCGCTGTGAATAAGTTGTGTCCTTGGACAAGGCACTTTATAGGAGTATAAATGGGTATACGTAGTACGATGATGTAGCATTGAATGTAGTGGCCTATCGGCATTAATAAGCACGACTAGGAATACTCCGGGGGAGTGGAGGAGGTTGTACTTTGTGCTGGATTGATTATCATGGATCCAATGACCAGGAGTAATAAAAACAACATCGCCAGTACCAATTGTATCCCTTGGCACATAAGGCGCGAGATCCCTGACGTGTTTTCGTTTTGCCCTCGGTTTTGCATAATGCCTATAGCCTTTGAAATAGCGTCATTATAATATAGATCATCATCACCATTATTATCATTATAATCAAAAAGCACTAGCACCCCACATTAATCTTTACACCCAGGAAAAGCAGGGCCCATATTATAGTAAAAATCCTTACATAAACATAATAAGAAAGGGAAACTAAGAAGATAAGCATGGCTTAAAACAGTCACAGAAGATTGAGGGTAAGCACGAAAAACAGGAGTGAAACTTTGAGAGAATGAAAATTTTGCAGTAAAATTTGTTGCCTTATTGCTTTTATTAGTTTTAACGCCAAAACAGAAAACGTCATTGCTAAGTGTCAATTACTTTTACATTATTCAATAACATTCAATAATTCTTCCCATAACTTTAGGCGAGATTAATATGTTTAGCGAAACCTGCGAC